GTGTTGCATTTCATATCAGGCATCCAAGTTCTGTCATTTTCTTTTTTTTTTGCAGTTCTAAACAAGTTTTCAAAAATCCCAACAAAAAACAAGCTTTAAAGAATGAGAACATAATTCACTGGTTCATAAATTATGACTTTTATTATCTGCTAAGCTTCTATTTTGCATCACTGTGGATATTATCTCCCCAAAGCTTGGTCACATGGGTCTTACATTTGATGTAGAAAAGCAAACTGAACTTTTTCCCAGAAAATACTTCTAAATAATGTGTTGTTGTTATTAAAGAATAGTGACGAATCTGAGAAACACCTGGTAACATGAATGAACATGGAGGACATTATACTGAGTAAAGTAAGTCAATCACTAAGGGACAAATACTCTATGAGACCCACTATTATAAAAAGTCAGGAAAATGTTTACACGCAGAAACATTCTTTGATGGTTACTGTGAATAGGAAGGGAGGAGAAAGAATCACAAAGTGAAGAGTAGACATGTAATAACTTGAGTAAAGAGAAAGGCAATATACAATAGGACGGAGGTCAGAATAATATGATTAAGGCAAAGGAAGACACTAAGATATGCAAAAGAGTTGCAGACAGCAAAGGTAAATACTATTACATATACAGTCATACAATAGCTGTACTAAACAATAATCTGCGAATTGATAAATGGGCAAACACTCAAGATGAACAGGTGTGGGAAGATGAATGGAACTACACCCATGAGCATATTTAATTAGTGGTGTTATTGCTGTTAAGTGCCATCGAGTCAGTTCCGACCCATAGCAACCTTGTACGGGGTTCCCAAGGAGCAGCTGGTAAACTTGAACCACCCACTTTATGGTTCAAACCGACTTTGCAGTCCAGCACATTAACCCACAGTGCCATACCAGGACTCCATCTATAGGTGTGGTTGGTTGGTTATGTGCCATGGAATTGGTTCCGACTCGTAGCAACCCTGTGTAGGGTATCCGAGGCTGTAAATCTTTGTTGTTGTTGTTGTCAGGTGCCATCGGGTCGGAACCGACTCATAGTGACCCCATGCACAGCAGAACGAAACAATGTCCGATCCTGGGCCAACCTCATTACCACTGCCACATTCAATGCCATCAATGATGCCACCTGGCCAATCCATCTCGTTGGGGCTCTTACCCAGCATGACATCCTTTTCTAGAAACTGTTCCCTCCGGACAATATGTCCAAGTATGAGAGACGAAGCTTAGCCATCCTGACCTCCAAAGAGCACTCTGGCTGCACTTCTTCCAAAACAGATCTATTGGTTCTTTTGGCAGTCCATGGCACTTTTAGTATTCTCCTCCAACACCACCATTCAAAG